CCCACCCCCATGCGTTTTTGTGCCACACCTGGCGGCCCTGTATGGCCCTGATGCTGATCTGCCTCCCTGCCTACCCGCCTCCCCTGCACACCCTCCCCTTCCCTGCGCAGGTGCGCGACCACTTTGAGCACAACGAGGAGGCCAAAGCGCTTCTGAAGCAGGTCAAGTCGTTCAAGGTGACCAAGTGATGGGCAGCTCCTCCGGCCCGCAGCTGGAGCGGCGGCGGCGGCTCACACCAGTGACAGCTCGCCCTGCCGTTCCTCCTCCGCGGTGCTCGGCGGTGGCGCGCCTGCTTCTGCTCCATTTGATTGCTTGACCGTTGGCACTGCTCATTCCTTCGACCTCCCCAGCACCGTGCGTAACGCCACCGGTGGCTCCAGCCCCCACCCACTGCACATGTTTTACAGGGCTGCCAGCGGGGCCAGCAAAAGAATCGAATGGCAGCCGCCGCAGACCGGGCTGCCCGCCCGCTACCAGGTTCTGCTGGCCTCATGGCCGCCCTGCAGGCTGGGCGTGATGTACAGCGGCAGGCGGTCGCTGGCCTCCTGCCGCTTCTGGCGCAGCAGGCCGTAGAAGAGGAGCAGGGAGAGGGAGGCAGAGATGAGGAAGGTCGAGTTGAACCAGCGGTGCAGCATGTCAAACTCCATCTCGCCGCCGATGGCGTCGCTGATGATGCCACGGTAGTTGCGGGGCAGCTGCCGCCTGCAGTACCGGGGGCGGCCGGGTACAGGCAGGAATGCCAGGGCTGAGAAGCTGCAGGCTGGCCGAGCGTGCGTGGCAGAAAGGGATGCCGGCAGCGGCACACGGCAGCGGCATGGGAGGGCTGCCCCGGCGCGCCCGCAGAACGTGACCCACGGCTGTGCTGTGTGTTGTACTGTACTGCTGTACTGCTGTACCGCATCCCACCCACCCCCACCTCAGCAGCAGCATGGTGGAGATGGTGTAGAAGCCCAGCAGCTCCGTTGTGACCAGCACCATGGTGGTGGCGTTGCCGGCAGACAGGCCGATGAAGAAGCGCTCCATGTGCTTCAGGAAGCCGCTGCGGCATCGGTCCCAGGGGGGGGAGGGGGACCACACGGCGGCCAAGGCAGGTGCTGAGTGCAGAACAGCATGGCAGCCGCGGCATGTTAAGTATGGGATGGCGATGCCCTTGGGCTGGCAACTGCTGCACCACCCCGGCTGCCATGCACGGCCCCTGAGCTGCTCCAGCCTTCCCACCCATCACCACCTCCCCTCCCCGCCCCGCCCCCAGCCCCCAGCCCCGCTCACCGCAGGCTGGAAATGGAGATGAAGCCGATGAATGCCAGGGTGAGGTACTGCGAGAAGTGGAGGACGTCGATGGACAGGTGGCCGCCAGAGAAGAAGCGCAGCACCTGGCCTATCGTCTTGCTGACCGGGTCGGACGACAGGTCCTCCCCAAACAGCAGCGCCCGCACGCTGGCAAACATCCTGCAGGCGCAGGCGCAGGGGCAGGGGCAGGGGGGCGGGCAACGGTGGCGGAAAGGGATGGGGAGCGAAGCAGTGCGGTGCGGTGGGGAAGGGCTGCAGGCTCCTGCCCACCGCTGCCAGGCCGCATATGTGCCCACCCGAGGCCGCCTGTCTGCCCGACCACCCACCCCTGGGACCGAGCAACATAACCAGTCCACAACCCCAAGCACGGGCACCCCCAAGCGCCGGCCCACATGATACATGATGTAACCAGCCCACAACCCCAAGCACACACGCGCCAGCCGCCCACCTGTACATGCAGTACAGCCCACCTGTATATGCAGTACAGCGACAGTATGTAGCCCAGCAGGTTCTGCACGTGGCCATACAGCGTGCGCGCCAGCACCGCCCGCTGGTGCTCCCGCCTCAGGTCGATCACGTCTGGGCGTGCGGCACGAGAGGCAGGCGGGGCAGGCAGGTGAGGCACAGAGGCGGGGTGGTGGTGGCGGGCGGCGGGGCACGGCGGGTGGCGCACAGGAGACGAAGGGGCAGGCAGGAGGCGGCGGGCCCGCGCTCACCCGCGTGCAGCGCCTGCCGCAACCGCTCGAGCCCCACCACCTCTGCCTGCAGCTTGCCCAGCACCTGGCGCGGGTCCGCCGGCCCCCCGCCCACCGCCGCCAGCACGCGGCCGAAGAAGGAGCGCTGTGGCGCCTTGCCAGACGCCTCCTGCACGCAGGCACGGCCAGCCAGGCCTGACCCTTCTCGCCACAGGAGCAGCAGCAGCCCCACATGCATGGGCAGCAGGTGCTGGCTGGCCCCTCGTCACATCCAGCCACCGGCCCGCCCCAGCGCAGCCCCGCGCGACGCCTGCCTGTATCTCTATCTCCTGCTGCAGCCCCGCCATGTTTCTCCGCTTCTGCGCTATCGTGTCCACCGTGTGCCGCAGCTGCGACTCCATCGCCGCTATCTCCGCCCTGCCAGCCAGCCAGAGCGGGGGCGCGCTTGGGTGTGGTGTGGTGCGGCGACAAGAAGGTGGTGGAGAGAAGCGACATGCGCACCGTCAGCTTTGCACTCACACAGCCGCCCAGCCTGCGCCCTCCGAGCCAGCAGCGTCGGTCACCCCAACCGCACAGCAGGCTGCTGCAGGCAGGGCACAGGCGCCCCTGCCCCGCCCACCACCACCGCTGCCGCCGCCTCACCTCTCCACGGGGCGGATGAAGAGTGTGATGTAAGAGAAGGGGACTGACACTGAGCCATAGCCCGACAGTACTCCCACCAGGATGATTCCCAGCACCCCCACACGGCTCACCACCTGCGGGAGCGGCGGCGGGGGCGCCCAGCGCCAGGGGAGGCGTGCCGGCGGCGTCAGACGGCCCGAAACGTGCGGCTGGCTGCAGGGCCCGCCACAGCCACGCCACACAGGCGAGGGACCGCACACACAGGAACAGCAGCGCCACAGGCCGCCACAAGCAGCGCCAGCCACTCCACAGTACGGCAGCCAGCCCAGCCCACCTCCAGCATCGTCAAGAGGCGGCCGTGCCCCGCCGGGATCCCCGGCACCACGCCGCCCAGCCGCCAGAAGGCGCAGAGGCCGGCCGCCAGCAGGACGGCGGCGCCCGCGCACGCCTTGAGCGGCGGCAGCTTGGATGAGAGGGCGACGTAGGAGTGGTAGTAGGGCAGGACCAGCAGCAGCAGGCACAGCATGGAGACGATGTCAAAGCGCCAGTTGAGCTTGCGCACCCTGCAGGCGGGGCAGGCGGGCAGGCAGGCAGGCAGGCATGGGCCTGGAAAAGTCGGCAGGGAACAGCGCTGGGTGCGCAGCTGCCATGCGGCTGACTTGAGTGCTGGCCGCTGCGGTGCTCCACGCGCCCCACACCCCTCCCCCTCCCCTGGCACAGCGCAGCAGCAGGCGTCGCTGCAGGCGGGAGGCGACGGCAGCGGGCGGGAAACTGCCGGCGCGCCGCCGCGCCGCCATTCCCCGTGCCGCCCCCTGCGCTTTGCTGCTGCGCACCCCGGGTCCATGAGGTCCAGGATCTCGAAAACCAGCAGCTGCAGGAGGTTGGCTGACAGGGCGAAGACCGCCGCGAAGAGCAGCTGCACGACGGAGTTGCGGCGGTGTCTGGCGTCGTAGTGCGTCAGTATGGTCGACCGCAGGAAGAGCCAGCCGCAGAGCAGCAGGCCGACAAGCGACAGCGCCGGCACAAACTCCAGGCCCGCCATGGCCTCTGGGTGCCGCGAGAGAGGCCTGGGCCCCTGCTACCGCCCCTCAAGCATTTGCGTTCGTTGGCTGGTCGCCTGGCGCCGATGTGGCAAGCTGGATCCGATCCTGGAGGCGTCCTGATCTGATGCCTACCCACGGTTCAAAGCGCAGGATGTTCGGCCGACCGGCCAACGAAGCATAGCAGACGCAGCAGGGCACGAAAATTTCTGAAAGCCCATCCCAAACCACAATGTGCAGCATAATAGTTCTTATATCTCACACATCAACCATTTGGCCGGCGGGGAGGGGTGTCGATTGGATGCTTGGGCGCGCCTTCACAGAGTTGTCCGCCTGTCGCACAGCAGCATCCAGGAGGCCACCCGTCCGCTGCCGCACCTCGCCAGGCGCGCTTGTTGCGGTTGCCGTGCAAGCAAGGATGCAGAGCGGCGGCGCCGGCGCAGCAGGCGGCGGCAGCGGCAACCGTGCCGTCATCTGGTTTCGGGGCACCGACCTTCGCCTGCACGACAATGCCATCGTGCATGAGGCGGCGCGCCGGGTGGAAGCGGGCCAGGTGGCAGAGGTGCGGTGGGCGATGCATCCTGAGTCCCCTACGCCCGGCCTGGGCCCATACCATGCAACTCCAGCTGCCACCCCGCCCTCCTGGCTGCTCCTCATCCCTGCTGCTGCCCGCTGCTGCCCTTGCTGCTGCTGCAGGTGCTGCCGCTGTTCTGCTTTGACCCGCGCTACTTCCAGGCCAGCGCCTGGGGCAGCCCAAAGACGGGGCAGTTCAGGGCGCGCTTCCTGCTGGAAAGCGTGCGGGACCTCAAGGCCCGGCTGCGCGCCCTGGGCAGCGACCTGCTCATCTGCATGGGCAGGCCCGAGGAGGTGAGGCCTGGCTGCGTAGCTGGCTGTGTAGCTGGCTGGCTGGGCTGGCAGTGCTGGGCGGATCCGTGCGTGGGGCAGGCGGGGCATGCAGGCAGTAGCGCACTGCACAGCGCAAGTCAGGTGAGCGCAGGCCTGGGCGCTTCCATCTCGGCTAGCTGGCTGGCTGGGGGGCGACGTCAGAAGGCGGCTGGGCGGGGTGCCTGCTCACGTCCTGGGGCCTCCCGCCGCTGCAGGTGCTGCCCGGCCTGATGGCGCAGCGCGGCAGCGGCCTCCAGACGTGCGTGCTGGCTCAGAGCGAGGTGACCAGTGAGGAGCTGGCGATCGAGAAGAAGGTGCAAGCTGCATGCTTGAACACTGGGCTGGCAGTGTGCCGGCATTGGGCTGGCATGCAGGAACTGGGCGAGGAACCTTGCAACAAGATAGTGTCTCCATGAATCATTCCCCCCCGCCCACGCACCTAACATAAAAAACCCTTGCGCTGCACCATCAACCGCCCAAGCAGGTCAAGTCGGCTGTGGTGGCTGCTGGCGGGAAGCTGGACCTGTACTGGGGCAGTACCATGTACCATCTGGAGGACCTGCCCTTCAGGGAGGGCCTGCGCGACATGCCAGATGTCTTCACTCCCTTCAAGCAGAAGGTGGGCAGTTTGGCACCGGCAAGTGTGGGGTTCGCGATGGCTGGGCCCGTGCCATGCTTCCAGGGGCAGCAATTGGCACACCTGTGCTTGGCAGCCTTGGGCCATACACCTGCACATGCGTCGCCTGCCAGCCTGGTGACTGTTGCCGCCACTGGCGTGCAGTGCGAAGACCGCTGCCAGGTGCGCAAGCCCTTCCCCGCGCCGGCGCCAGGCGCACTTCCGCTCCCGGCCGGCCTGGAGGCGGCGCGGCTGGCGTTTGAGCCGCAGCGTGTGGAGGATCTGAATGCTGTGGTGCCAGAGGGCCACCCGCAGCTGGCTAGCCCACAGCGAGACACACGGGTGAGCCGCGGCACGGCCCGGGTGTGTGCTGGCATGGACCGAACCGGAGGGACTGGCAGGCGGAGCTTTCGGTGCTGCGCTGTGCTGTGCTGTGCTGTGCTGTGCTGTGACATGCTGTGCTGTGCTGTGCTGCTCATCAGGCGGTGCTCGACTTTGAGGGCGGGGAGAGCGCGGCGCTGGCCCGGCTGCGCTACTACCTCTTCGACTCCAACCTGGTGGCCACCTACTTTGACACCCGCAACGGCATGCTGGGTGAGAGGGCTGGCTGGGTGGGCAGGGGGAGGGGCAGCCCCTGGGCAGCAGGCAGGGGGGGCAGCCGTGCGGTAGTGCCGCGCTCCTGCGCGCCCAGTGGCCGCTGGTGCCAGGAGTGTTCCATGCCAAACGTCTGCGCTGCCTGGCCGCTGCCCCCTCCCTGTCTTCCCTCGCACCCTTTCTATTCACTGCCCCCGCTCCCCTGCCCCCTGCAGGCGGGGACTACTCCACCAAGCTGGCGCCCTGGCTGGCCCACGGCTGCCTGTCGCCGCGCAGCGTGTACTACGACATCAAGCGCTACGAGCGGCAGACGGGCACCGCCAACAAATCAACCTACTGGGTTGTGTTTGAACTCATCTGGCGGGACTTTTACAGGTGGGGCGTTGGTGGTGAATAGTGACGGAGGGGCAGCGGGGACCTGAGGGGCAGTGGGGACCTGATGCAGCAGCAGCAGCAGCGGCAGCAGCGGCGGCAGTGGCAGTGGCGGCGCGGCAGCGGCCACAGCATGGGCAGCGTGCTGTCTGGTGCACCGTTTGAGCCTGCTCCGGCGCCTCGTGGCGCCTGCCCCGGCCCTCAGGTTCTTTGCGCTCAAGCACGGCAGCAAGATCTTCTTGGAGGGTGGAACCACCGGCCAGGTGGGCTGGCGCTGCCGGGGCCGCCGCTGCTGGCTGCCAGCAGCTTGTGCCTGCCCTCTCCCCACCTTGCCATGCGGCTGCAGGCCCACAGCCGCGGCTGCATCCCATCGCACACTTTGGTGGCTGCTGCTCTGGCGCGGCATGCAGGCTCCGCAGTGGTCCAATGATGCCGAGGCGCTGCGGCGCTGGAAGGAAGGCAGGACGGGCTGGCCGCTGGTGGATGCCAACCAGCGGGAGCTGAGGGCCACAGGCAAGAGCCGTCCAGCAGGCGGCAGGCCGATGCGCATCCGGGCGCTGCTCCTGGCTTGTGGTGTGCGAGTTGCACTCGCCACGCACCAGCACCCCGCCACCGCCGCGCCACCCCGGACCCCCTGAACTGCCCCACCACGCCCACCTCCTCACGCACTCCTCCCCTGCAGGCTTCATGTCCAATCGTGGCCGCCAGAACGTGGCCTCCTTCCTGGCTCTGGACCTGGGGGTGGACTGGCGGCGCGGCGCCGACTGGTTTGAGCACCTGCTGCTGGATTATGACGTGTGCAGGTGGGGTAGGGCGGTGGTGGTGTGTGCATGTGTACATGTGTGTGTGTGTGTGGATGGGTGGGTGAGGGGCGAGGCAGAGAAGGTCGGGGGCGGATGTGCAGGCAGCGGAAACAGCGGGGGGGGGAGGGCAGGAGGCGCTTGCGCTCTGCATGCTGAGGTGGCAGCATGTCAGCGTGCCGCCGCGGCCGTCTCACCTGGTGCCTCCCCACCTCCCCGCCCCTGCCTGGCTGAAGCAACTGGGGCAACTGGGTTGCTGCGGCGGGGCTCACCGGCGGGCGAGTCAACAAGTTCAACATCACCAAGCAGAGCAAGGTGCCAGCCAGCTGCTCGTCGTGCTCATCCCCCATGCACGCGCTCGCCCCTTGCCTGCTTGCCCGGGCCCCCTGCACAAGCCTCCGCCGAGCTCCTTGCTGGCCCCCGCGACCATCCCCAGAATCGATGCTGCTGCATGGGCGGTGCAGGACTATGACAGTGAGGGGCAGTACATCCGTACCTGGGTGCCGGAGCTGGCGTGCGTGCCGGCAAGGCGCATCCATGAGCCCTGGCTGATGAGCCGCGAGGAGCAGGCGGCGGCGGGGGTGCAGATTGGTGTGGACTACCCAGCCCCGCTGAAGAGCGCCTGGAAGGGTGGGTGGGTGAGGCCTGCAAGGAGTGGCTGGGTGTGAGGGTTTCAGTGGCGGCCGTGCAATCTAGAGCTGCGGCACACACAGGGCTGGCTGCTGCCACTCGCCCCTGTAGTGATGGTCGCTTGCCATCATGGCGATGATCGCCTGCAGGTTATGATGGCGGCAGTCGCGGCGGGAGCAGCAGCAGCGGCAACTATCGACCCAGTGGCGGTCGAGGCGGCACCGGCGGCGGCAGCGCACAGGGCAGGGGCGGCGCAGGTGGCAGGGGCGGCGGCGGCGGGCAGTTCAGGCCGCGAAGCGCATACGAGCAGTATGGGTGAGCCTATGTAACCGGCTCCAATTTTGAGTATTTGAGGGGTTTGGTCTCATTCCACATGAATGTCCAACTCTGACACTCGCTTTAAACCTTAAGCTTGGCGTGGCACTCAGCCAGCACGTTCACCAGCTCAGCTCAGCTGCCAGGCTGGCCCCCTTGGCAGGCAGGTCTGCAGGGATCCAGCTGGCCATTGGATCGATGTCGCTTGGCGCATGGATGGCAGAGCTTGGGTTTCAATGCTGTGGGCAGGCTGGACTCCAGAGGTTTCGTCCCCCTCGCTCAGCACCATGCAGGCAGGGTGGGCGGGGTATGGCCCGGGGCCAACGCCCAGCGGCAGGGAGCTCCCCGAGGGGTGGACTCTGACCTGGGGTTGGACAGCAGCTGCCTGACCCGGAGCAGCTATTGGAGCTGGACCCTAAGGCCTTAAGGCATTCCTGAATGGTGGGTTTCGTCCTCCCTCTTCCTGCCTGCTTCTCCTTGTTGCCGCCGCTGGCGGCGGCAAGAGTGGCCGCGGCGGCACCCCCCTGGGTCAGAGGACGGGGGTGCCCCCTCGCTCACCCCCCTCCCCTCCACCCCCGTGCTACAGCACCTCCCAATCACGGTGTTCGTTTGGGGAGGCGGGGGTCAGGGGATCGATATGGTTGAGAGGGGTTTGGGAGCTAGGAGGAAGCAGGCAAAACTGGCCTCACAGGGTGGAGTACGTCGAGTACTAGTATTTCTCGTGCACCAACCTCTACTCTCCCTACTGCAATTGTCCTTGATTGGCAGCAGGATTGGCAGGTATCTTGCCTGCTGCACCTTGGGCTGAGCTCACTGACTGTTGGAGACTGTGATCGACCTGCCACTGGCAGTGCGCGGGTTGCTACGCTCCATAGCGCCGTGCGCTTGGTTTCTGATTCATCTACGTCGAATGGGGATTGTTTGCAGGGCTTTGCTGCGCAGGGGACGCGGGCCCACCTTCGAGGGCTTTCATAGTTCGCTGAACCCGGTGGGTGCAGCGCTGCCTGAGGCATTAACGGGTGTGAGGGCGCAGCAGCATCGCCCAGGAAGTGCCTTGCACGTCCTTCCAGGACGGAGCTCGTGCGTGCCTGCCGTCTTATCATGAATGGGGGCCGGTGGCCTGCCGCATCTCTTGGCTCCTGTGGCAATGCCAAGGCCATCGGGCCCACTTGGCCAGGCGCTGGCCGGCCATAGTATGCTGCACGCCCGTTGGTAGCAGTACTTCCGCCGCCACTGGCGCGCCGCCAGAAAGTCTGTGGTGGCGGTTGCATGTGGTTGAGCGGGGGGGGGTCGCAATGTCCATCACCCCTTTCCCCTCTCTGCCACCCATCCCCTCACCACAGCCTCCCTCACGCTGCAGGCCGCACAAATCAGGCCGTCATGGCGCTGAGGACGGTGCTGGCCGCCCTGGTGGCCGCCATTGCGATGGCGGCGCTCAGCGGCGAGGGTGAGTACTCAGCGGACAGAGTGCATGTGTGTCGCAATGCAGCCCAGCTCGTCTGAATTAATGTCTGCTCATCGGCATCTCAGACACCGGCATGGTTGTTCTCGCAACTGCGAGCGATGAGAGGGCGGTCGACCCTCCTCCTCCCGGCGCCTCTCTTCCGTCTGCAGGTGTCGCCGCAAAACGCGACTTGACTCAAACCAAGAAGCCGCCTAGTCCGCGCCCGCCCAGGCCGCCTCCAAGGCCCAAGCCTGGCTATGCACAACTGCCGGACCCGCTGCGCAGAGGTGGGCATCGAGGCGGCGCCCGTCCAGCTGCGGCTTTTCGGCACCATGGTGGACTCGGTGCTGTCCCATGGTGCTGAGGTGTGGGGCGTGCAGCTGGCGGCCAAAGCGGCGTGCTGCCATCGTGGCAGTGCCGGCAGCGCGGCCGAGAAGCTGCAACTCAGCTACCTACGCCACCTGCTGGGGGTCCGGCAGAGCACCCCCAATGCGGCCCTCCTTGCGGAGACTGGCGAGCGCCCGCTGTGGCAGCGCTGGCTGCGGCGGGCAGCCAAACTCTGGAACAAGACGCTGGAGGAGCGTCCCGGCAGCCTGTTGCAGCAAGCGCTGTTGTCCAGCGTGCAGCTCGCAGATGGCGCCCACCCCCTGGCACAGCAGTCCTGGGCTGCCCAGCTGGCGGCCGGTCTCGCAGCGGTCGGCATGCAGCTGGACCTGCAGCAGCCAGCACCTGTTGACCTCGGCGAGCTGGGGGAAGCTGCGCAGCGCCGCCAGCTGGCGCAGCTCCAGGAGGCGCTGGCGAAGGGCGGCGCCAGCCGGCTGGAGCACTATGTGCACAACGTGGTGGGCGCCCTCAACCTGGCGCCCGCCATGTTTGGGCAGCGCGAGACCTACCTGGATGCAGTACGGCGTCGGCAGGACCGCGAGGCGCTGGCGCAGCTGCGCACCGGGTCGCATTGGGGCGCGGAAGAGACCGGCCGCTGGACGCGGCGCCCCCGAGAGCAGCGAGTCTGCCCCCACTGCCATGACGGCATTGAAGATGCCCCCCACATGCTGCTCACCTGCCCCCTTTACGCCCCGCTGCGCCTCAACTTTCCTGACCTGTTTGCTGAGCCCCATCCTCCCCACCGCTTCCTCCGCCAGAAACCGTGCCGCCTCGCCGCCTTTGCTGCCGCCTGTCACCAGCGCTGGCTGACCGCCACCGTTGCGCTGCCTGCAGTCCCGCCCTGAACCCCCACTCTCATGTCCACCCCCTTTGCTCTTACCGCACCACACCTGCTCCACGACATGCAGTACTGCCTGCCCGCTCACACACTAAACGCTCGGTGACCTGTCAGTTGGCCTGTCCTGCCTGTTGTTCTACTGCTTCATCCCTCCTTGCTCGAACAACAAAGTCTGTGCTGCAAGCTTGTTCTTGCTGAAACCAGACTGTAAGCCCACACAAGCCAAGCACCTAGGCCGCCCAGGCAAGCAATCTGCTTCGTGCGTGCTGAATGGCGCCAGCACCAGCCCAGCCAGTGCTGCCGACGTTGCTACCGCTCATTCGCCATTTTTCTGCAGCCCAAAGCCGCCGCCGAGGCCTAAGCCGCCGAGCCCCAAGCCGCCGCCCCGGCCGCGGCTAAGAAAGGCCTTCTTTGAAGGCGCTGGAGCTAGTGTCTAAACCCTCCGAGAGGGCACAGGTTCGATTCCTCCCATGTCGAAACTTTGTGAGGACAAACGCGGCATAGCTGACCGGCTCAGCGCCAATCCAAGCCAATTCCTTCGGGAACGCCTATTAGAATCGCCAAGGCTTCGGCACAGGCCTCCCCGGGACCCATTCACTACTAGTGGGGGGTACTGCACTTGGCGCGTCGGGCAGATCAAATAATGGTCTAAAGCTAGACGTTAAAACCGGGAAGTTAAGCCTGTGGAGGCTCTTCCCCACCTTTACCTTTACCTTTACCCCCAGGCAAGCAACTGCTTGTGCGCGGAGAGCAGCGCTGAGTAGCTTGCGTGCTACAGCCAGTCACCCGCGATGCATGACTAGCACCAGCACCAGCACCTAGCACAAGCGCCAGCACAGCGCCCCCTTCTCCCAGCCCTGCCATGCTGCTGACCGTGGCATGCCGACCATGCACCCGCATATGCTCGATCTGCTGCGGCAGCCCCAAGCCGCCGAGCCCCAAGCCGCCGCGCCCCAAGCCGCCGCCGCGCCCCAAGCCGCCGCCGCGCCCCAAGCCGCCGCCGCGCCCCAAGCCGCCAAGCCCCAAACCGCCGCCACGTCCGAAGCCCCCCAGGCAAGCAACTGCTTGTGTCCGGAGAGCAGCTGCAGCTGAGTAGCCATGTGTGTTACAGCCAGTCACCCCGCTATGGATGGCAACAGCACCAGCACAGCGC